CTGGAAAAGACTCTGATGTTGGGAAAGTGTGAAGGCAAGAGGAGAAGGGGACGAAAGAGGACAAGATGGTTGGACAGTGTCACTGTTACGGTCAGCCATAGCATAACCTGTCCATCACAGCTGGGAGGGAAAATCTCAGCCAATGAGAGGGCGGAGGGTGGTGCAGAGGCGGGAGGGGCTGTGATATATAAGGTGTGTGTGAGGTGTGAGTGGGTCAGATAGGAGATAGGAGTTAGGAGATGGCAGATAGATGAGAGAGGAGTGTCTGAGCTGCGAGTTAAAGTAATCTTAGTGTCAGTGTGAAAGAGTCTGTGAGAGCTAGTGCCTGAGAAACAGTAATTGATTATTTTTTTAACAGTGATTTACCATTCCTTTCTTTGTGTATTCAATAAACCAAGTTTTTATTTCTAAAAGTTATACTCGCCTGCTGCATGATTTATTCATTAAGGAATGGTTGGTGGCAGTAAAGAAGAGTGAAGGATTTTAAAGTGACATGATGACCTCCCTTTGTGAGTAGTGAGGAAGGCCGTCACAGTCACCAAAGCTACCAACATGAATTTTACCCAACTCTAGAAGGCAGTGGAAGACAGGAGGGCCTGGCGTGCTCTGGTCCATGGGGTCATGAAGAGTCAGACACAAATTAACGACTAAACAACAACAACTAGAAAATAGTGCTCAGCTAGCAAACATAAATACACAAATTTTAAAAAAGGTTAAAAGGAGATTTAAAAAACCCCCAAGAAATACCTCAGTTACAATGAATGTAATCAAACCAACTGTAGTAATCAGACCTCAAAAAAGCAAAACAGCTTAAAATGCTGGCTTGAAAAGGTGTATCTTCAAACACTTTCTGAAGGCAGCAAGAGTGCAAACTGACTGTGACTCTGAGGTGTAATGCTTTCCACTACCTGAGAGTAACACTTACAGAATCTGAAAGATGATCTATTTATGATCTATTAAGGTGGGAAGTGTACCAAGGTGTACCATGATGGCACACCAAGCATTAGTGGTGAAGGTTTGCTTATATCTCTTGCTGCTTTTTATCTCTAGCACTCAGAGTTGTAACTAGACCTTTTGGCACTTAGGGCAAGCGGCACCATCTCCCACCCACTCCAATCTACTTAAGAGCCCCACTACCCTTACCATGTTTGTAAGAAGCAAGGCAGGATCTAGCTTGATGTGACAAATGCTTATTTATTTTCTAAGTAGACCAATAGTGCCACCTAGAGTGCCTGCATTTAGACATTCCTTATGGAACTCCTCAGTATTTAAAAAATAAATCCACAGTCATTAAAGAGACTGAATCAATTAAATACATGCCTGATTGGCTCTCTAGCCCACTAAGGCAAAAAGTATTTTCCCTCAGCAGTGGACGAACAGCTTACGGTACCTTCATTAAATGGAGAGCTTTTAAAAATCAGAATTGTGTGCCATCAGGTAAATTCTGACTGATGGCAATCCTTTTCAAGGTTTTCTAGGAAGAGGGTACTCGGAAGTGGTTTTCCATTCCCTTCTTCTGGGGGGCCCTAGGATTCTGCACATGCTGGCTCATCTCCTCGGAGGCACAATGAGGAATCAAACTCCCAACCTCTGGCTCTACAGCTAGCTATCTACTGTAACTCAAGGAGCTACCTTTCTCATAAGTAAGCAAAGAATCAACTCAGAACACAGCCGAAGAGCCCGAAAAAACCACAACAACCATCAGATCTCAGCCGTGAAAGCCTTTGAGAACACAATCAACTCAGTGTTTTACTTCTTGGAATCATCCAGCCAGGTGATCATCTTTCCAGTACGGAACTCTGCACAAGCTCTGAAACCCAGCACTTTGCTCAGGCAGGTAAAATGCATAATTAGGTCAGTTAGACAGAAGTTTTGATTTCATTTCTGGTCTATGCATGAGGTTTGGTGCCCTCGTCTCTCCCTCCTCCCTAGTTTTGCTGGTTTGGAATGCAAGAAATTGTAATCTAACATACTATCTGGAAGGCAACAGATTAAGGAAGACTCCTCAATGTGTATCTGAAATATAGGCTGACTAGTGGAAATCTTTTTTTAAAAAATCCCTCTGGTCCCCCACACCCCTCTTTGGCAAGAGAAACCTGGGGTCTGCTAATAGGGAATCTGGAGTTGCTGGATATACTCTCATGTTAATCACACTGAAATAGCAGCAGATAAGAAAAAGAACAGAAAAGGTGAAAGATGTGAAAGTGGTTCCTCTTCCTTTCATCCTTCTGTCCTAAAAACCTCTGGTCCAGATACTGCTGTTCTGATCTGTATGAGTGATGGAGGGTGAAAGCGAGCCTGTGCTGGCCTCACACCATGCAGTCTCTTATATTGTGCAAAAATAAGGCAAGAATAAGGCCTACCTGAGCACTCTATTCACTCCAACCAGCTGCTTTTAATACTGTGCAAGGGCAGCACGTGTAGTAAATGATTTAGTTAATTCCCCCCCTCCCCAATGGAGTGGAGGACAGTTTGGGGAAAAAAAACCACCCTGATCTTTTCCCACCAAAATGTGTCTGTCCATGGATGTGGAAAAGAACTTCCCATAGGAATTTTAGGTTCTATTTCTTAGTTACTGCACTAAATTAACCCAAAAAGTCAAATAAATGAAAGGGAGGGTATTCACTTTCCATCTAGAGAATATTTATACAGCCAACAAATCAATGTCTGCACTGGGAAGAAAAAGGATTTAGGGAGAGAAGATTGAGCATGGAGTAAGAGATTTTTCAAAACATATGATGCATGCCCATTATATAGGGAAAGAACTGCTGTGTGTTGGTAAGGCTGTCAAAGGCTAATAGTCCCGATGATGACTATATATAACTTCCAGTATGAGAAACGTTATGTGTCTTCATAATAGTTGCTAGGGAACATGAACAGGAGGGTACTGCTTGAGGGGTTCCCATAAGCATAGATTAGGTGTGTCTTTAGTCTGTTTGGCATAGCGAATAGAGCAAAATGCACAACTGGACTTGGATGCAGCTTTCCTCCTTAAGGAATGAAACACATGGTTTGAGAGTTCTGCCCTGTGGCACACCGGACGTTCAGGTGAGGACGGTGTCTTTTGTATGTTTTGATCGGCTTAGAATGGTACACTCGCTGTAATCCTAAGAGGCCTGATAACTCTCTCAGTTCTTCTTTGTCATCTTTTTGACTCACACAGATGTGATTCTGTACCTGCACAGAACATTCTAGAGATGAACAGTTTAGGCAAGAATTCTGCCCCCACCCTCTTCTGACATATGCCGTGCATGCGGCTTCCTTTAAATATTTGGAAACCTCAGCTTGTGTAAGAATATGAACAAACCAGCCTTGATGGGGACTAGAGAGTTGAGTCATATAACACTTGACACTCCATACAACTGCACTACATGCTAATACATGGAAATTCTGGTTTTGATGTTTAAAGCATTAAATACTTGAGAATCAATTTATGCCAAGTCCTTTGGCTGTCTTTCTCCACATCAGTGCTTTAGCACTTTAAAATCAGCAACCAGACTCCATTAATGGGAATTATATTGATGAGCACAAGTGAAGTATGTCTGTCTGTCTGTCTGTCTGATGAGTGACAAAATATATTTTGCCATCTCATTCATGCCAGGCTCCATCAGTGTAGTCTTTTAGAAAATCTCTATGGTTTCTCTTATAATTTCTTGCTTTGTAACAGTACTGCCTTTAGAATGGACTGGCTGATGTTAATCTTGTTTACTTGGCCCAATTCTGCCCAACTTGAGTTAACAGAAAATTTCTGATTAGAACTAGATATGACTTTGATATTTTAATATTTTGGTAAAAACAACCTCAGTGCTACACTGTGGAAATCTGATTGCATCTAACTGAATTAATTAGCATGACAATAAAGAATGTCATAGGTTCCTCCGTCTTCCCTTCCCTCAGATAATTTCTACCATCGCTGGATCTCTGTGACAAATTCCAGCCATTTCTTTCAGTGAAAAGCACACAGGGCTTGTTTGGTCAGCATGAAGCAAAGAACACAGACACTGTTAGAAAAGAAAGCACTTTAGCAGGGTACTAACCTGTGACATTAGTAGTTATGGGTGAGGACAGTTCCTCTGCAGTCTCAAAGAGCTTCTTGTACCCACCAGCTGGGTGCTCGACTCTGAAAGATGTTCGGAAAGTTAAGGGTGAGCAACTCAGTATGCCCTGGGCTGTTTCCTTTACTTACATGAGAAAGAGAAGTTAGAATAAGACTTTTAAACTGGATCTGGATATGTTTGACCTAAATGAAAAGAAGGCACGGTAGAAGAGAATGAGAACATAAAATCTGGCAGCCACTGTAAGAAAACCGTTACTAATTTCCTTGAGCACAAATACCATCAGTTGTGTTTCAAGAGACATGCCCTGCTTTTTCATCTACAGCATCAGATTACATTCAAGGAAGATAGCTGAATATATTTCAAAAACCATTGGCCTCACACAATTTTCTCTAGTACAATACAGCCTATTTCTGTGGACAAAATGTGCACAAATTTCTCCTTATCAGTCATGACATCCCAGAAACGTAGCAGTGTTGATTTTCATCCGAGCCTAAGCCTTCCTCACACAGATATCCACCGTAGTTTGATTCCGAGTATAATAAATAATCAAGTGAGCCAGTTTTCCAGTGCTGCTTGTCCAGTTCAGCATATTTGTTCAACACAGCAGCCCTCCAAGTATGGGACTGTGCCATGCTATAGTTGGGGCAGAACAAATCTCACGGAAGTCGCTTACACTTTTAAAAGTGCCTGAAGTATCTTTCTGCCTATTAAATGGAAGTGCCACCGAATATACTTCAATGTAATGGATTTAGGCTTCCCAAATCAAGAGCATAAGATTAATCACTTCTAATAGCATCCACCTTCAGTGTTAACTGTTGGTCACTTTTTCCCATAACATTCTCACATTATTTGATGAGTTCCATAGAAGACAGCATGCTAAGATGCATGCTGCCCATGCTTCTGAGAAAATTGCCACCTGTAACAATCTATTGCCATGATTGCATTTCCTTGGTTGACATTTAATCTCCATGTAGAGAAAATCCTAGAGGATACTTACTGGCTGAACATTTTCTCTCCCAGAAAGGACTTGAACTTTCCTGAGTCAAATGCAGAGTACAGCAGTCAGAAATGTGCCCTGGCTATTTATATGTTAGGTTTTACTGACAGGAGCAATGGCTTTATGGAAACATATGAGCCAATTAGTGCAGCCCCAGGAAACAGAAGTATCTTTCAGCACTCAAATCCTCCTGAAGCTTTATAAGATTTTGTCCTACTGTTCAAAGGTCTTTGAGTGTTTTCCAGAGACCTAAATCCGCCATGCAGAAGTAGATTACAAAGAAACAGCAAGAGGGAAGAAAGTGGGGGCTCTGGTCACACAGTCTGTAACGTGCTCTTGCCTTGTCACCAGCCTTTTGCTGTGTTACCCAAGCATCCAGCTTAGAAGAATTGGTCATAGGCATATTACTGCCTCCAAGAGTCAAGAGAATAATATCCTACTTCCCCATGCAAAATATACTCAATAGACAACTTGTTCTCAGCAACACAGAGACTCTGAGAAACCTAACAAACAGAAGATCACAGTAGCTACCCAAACTAACCGCTAATTTATCACAGTTTTTATCTCCTTCCACTGTTTCAATCATGTATGAAGGGCAGCTGCAGGAGTCTCTCTCTCTCGAAATTATGTATATTTACAAAGAGGGTCCCTAAAGAAAATGTTTTAATGGAAACACTGCAAATTCCTTTCAATAGTGTACACTCTGTTCCAAGTAATATGGCTTTTTGTGACTAATTATTGTGGTGTTATAATCTTTGAAAGTCTATGAGAAGGTCTGGTTCCTCATCATGCCTCCCAACTGGTATGTAGGAATTCATCTAGAGTATGATACATAAATCTGTATTTTTCATTTGGATTAAAGATGCGTGCAGAGGTTTGTAGGACCAGAGAGGATCCCGCTCCCAAGGCTGGTCCAATTGACGGCAGGCCCCCACCCTCAGCTCCTAGGCCTCTGGACTTTGACGCCAGTAGCTCCACTGTGGACTGGGGGCCTCTGGAGATGATACAAGAGGGGGTGTAAGGAAGACCGAGGAGGAGACAGGAGAAGAAAGGTGGAGTGTCCTGGGGGAGGGATAAAAGGGAGTTGGGCACTGAGGAGGAGTCAGACCACCAGGTGGACGCAAGGCACAAGATGGGGGCAAAGACACCCCCTACACAAGAAGTGGGTACCCCCAGCCATCACCAGTGATCTCAGGCTCCTGTCAGATGAACCCAGGCACCTCAAGCCCTGGCACTGCCCAGCCATGGAGAGATCCTCTGGCTGGAGAGATCCTCTGTCATCACCTCATTTGCAACTCTTATCCTCCTTGTGCCCCTGGAGGTCATCTGCTATCGGGAAGTGGAGGCTCAAGGGCCAGCTGATAGTCACAGGACATCACCCTTGCTGTGGCATGCCCTGCCTGGCTCACTTCTGTGGTGTCCTAGACCTCCTTGAGGACAAGATGTTCATCCTTCAGCCACCACTGTGATGCCCTGCCCACATTAGAGAAGGGAGAGACTCGCCGGTTTAAGAATAGCTAAGTGTAACCCTGTTGGGTTTTCTTCTTTACACCAGTGTTCAATAAAGCATTTGTTCTTCTGCAACTTCGCTCTGCATCATGGAGGGGGCTATGGGGACTGCCTACAAGTTTATACACAGAACCCCTCAGTGGGTGTCTGCTCCAATGTCAAATCAACCTACCTGTTATGACTGTGGATTTCTTAAACATAACTATTTTATGTTTGTTTTAAAACAAACATGGGTTCCTAAGATGTATCAAACAAAGAAATATGACCATACAAATCCTTAATTCTTCATACACTGTGGTGATGAGATTAAGTTGTACAACAGGGAAGGAGAAATGTTGCCCACACAGGATCTCAGATATGTTACTCCTCAAAATTCCATATCTAGAGGATGGAGATTTCCTGATTATCTTTCAGAAGGCAAGTAGGTGGAGGTAGGGATTCTGCTGTTTTTCACTGTGGTTTCTGTGCATCATATATATGGGTTTGCACATGTACAGATACATACTTTGTAACTTTTTAGATAGTGCTTTAGTTCATCTGTCACAGCAGGAGACTGTAGTAGTATGTTTGACTACTACTATTTGTTAGTCTAGGGTTATTCTATTTTTTTTCCTAATTTAGCTTTATACATATAGATTTTTATAGAATTTTAATTTTTGTTTACACATTTTCCCCCTTCAGTGATTATATTACTGCTTTATACTTCATTTCCTCTCCTCTGTTCATTTTGTTTCCCTTCTCTTCTCTGCTATTTGTAAGGCCTCATTGGACAGCCACTTTGCTTTCTTGCATTTCCTTTTCTTTGGGATGGTTTTTGTTGCTGCCTCCTGGACAATGTTATGAGCCTCCATCCAAAGTTCTTCAGGCACTCTGTCCACCAAATTGAGTTCCTTAAATCTGTTCTTAACTGCCACTGTGTACTCATAAGGGATTGGGTTTAGATTATACCTGACTAGCCCCGTGTTTTTTCCTACTTTCCTCAGTTTAAGATTGAGTTTTGCTATAAGAAGCTGATGATCAGAGCCACAATCAGTTCCAGGTCTTGTTTTTGCTGACTGTATGGAGCTTCTCCATCTTTGGCTGCAGAGAACATAATCTGATCTCGGTATTGCCCATCTGGTGATGTCCATGTATAGAGTCACCTCTTGTGTTGTTGGAAAAGAGTGTCTGTGATGACCAGCTTGTTCTCTTGACAAAACTCTATTAGCTTTTGCCCTGCTTCGTTTTGAACTCCAAGGCCACATTTACCTGTTGTTCCTTTTATCTATTGACTCCCTACTTTAGCATTCCAGTCCCCTATAATGAGAAGAACATCTTTCTTTGGTGTCAGTTCCAGAAGGTGTTGTAAGTCTTCATAGAATTGGTCAATTTCAGCCTCTTCAGCATCGGTGCTTGGTATATAAACATGAATTACTGTGATGTTGAAAGGTCTGCCTTGGATTCATACTGAAATCATTCTATCAGTTTTGACTTTGTATCCCAGTACAGCTTTTCCCACTCTTTTGTTGACTATGACAGCTACTCCATTCCTTCTATGGAATTCTTTCCCATAATAGTAGATATGATAATCATCTGAATTGAATTCGCCCTTTCCTGTCCATTTTAGTTCACTGATGCCTAGGATGTCAATGTTTATTCTTGCCATCTCCTGTTTGACCACATCCAGCTTACCAATGTTCATAGATCTTACATTCCAGGTTCCTATGCAGTATTTTTCTTTGCAGCATTGGACTTTCCTTTCACTTCCAGGCGTGTCCGCAGCTGAGCGTTCTTTTGGCTTTGGCCCAACCACTTCATTAGCTCTGGAGCTACTTGTACTCTTCCTCAGTAGCATGTTAGACGCCTTCTGACCTGAGGGGCTCATCTTCCAGTGTCATTTTTTTGCCTTTTGTTTCTGTTCATGGAGTTTTCTTGGCAAAGATACTGGAGTGGCTTGCACGTTCCTGCTCCAAATTGATCGCGTTTAGTCAGAACTCTCCATTATGACCTGTCTGTCTTTGGTGTCCCTGCACAGCATTGCCCATAGCTCCTCTGAATTATCCCTTCGCCACGACAAGGCAGCAATCCATGAAGGGGGAAAAGTGTTATAGCTATGCAAATTGTTTTATCTCTGTTCAGTAATTATTGATTTAATTTCACTCTTGCTTTTCCACATTACTTGTCTGGTCAGAACATTTTTTAAACAAGGATAATGTTCTGTGTATGGCAGTGAAGCCTTGTCTAGGAGAGCTGATATGGTGGTTTATAGACTGTCTATATCTCAGTTCAGTCATCAGTCCGAATGGAGACCACAGCCAAGAACATAAACATGAGAATGTAAGAAGAGCCCTGCTGGATCAGGCCAAGGACCCGTCTAGTCCGCTTCCTGTATCTCAAAGTGGCCCGACCAGATGCCTTTGGGAGCACACAAGGCAACTACATACCTGTCTCCTGACATCACTCCCCATTTTGAAGTACCTTCCTTTTAAGCCTGGAGATTATACATGCCCATCATGGCTTGTAACCTGCGATGGACTTTTCCTTGAGGAATCTGTCCAGTCCCCTTTTAAAGGCATCTAGGCCAGATGACATCACCACATTTTGTGTTAAGGAGTTCCACAGACTAACAATATGCTGGGTAAAGAAATGTTTTCTATTCTGTTCTCTCTCTCCCAACACTCAATTGGAGTGGAAGCCCCCTGGTTCTGGTATTATCTAAGAGAGAAAAGAGCTTGCCTCTATCCACTTTATCAATCTCCTGCATAATTTTATATGTCTCAATCTTGTCCCCCCTCAGGAGCCTTTTCTCTAGACTGGGGTCTCCAAACTTTTCAGAAGGGCACAACATATATGTTCCGAATTTTCAAGGGCTGAACATGTGCATGCATACATGTGTAGGCCTGCCTACATGCATTCCTGCCCGCCAGGCTGGATAAAAAGGTAAGGAGGGCTGGATGTGGCCTGTAGGCCATAGTTTGGAGACCCCTGCTCTAGAGTGCCAAACCCTGTAGCCGTTTCTCACAAGGGAGGTGCCCCAGCCCAGTCATCATTTTAGTTGCTCTCTTCTGCTTCTTCTCCAGTTCCAGGCCAATTAAATGTCTTTTTGAGGTGCGGTGACCAGAACTGTATGTAATACTCCAGGTGTGGCCTTATCACTTTCTATAATGGCATTAAAATGTTGCCTGTTTTATTTTCAACTCCCTTTAAAAAGAAATCAGAAAATGACTGAGATTTGGAAGGGCAGCTATAAAGACAGTAGAAAAGATCCTTGAGTGTAATGATGTCACTGGAGACCAAGCCAAAGAAAATCTATACTATGGCATTCTCAATTACTATGTACAGATGTAAAAGTGGGACAGTGAAGGAAGCTGACAGGGAAAAAATTAGTTCATTTGGAATGTGGAGTTGAAGGAGAGCTTTACCTATACTATGAATTGCTAGAAAGACAAATAAACAGTGCTAATGTAGAAGCTAGAATGATTAATCCGAAGCTATTGTGCTTTGGGCACATTATGCTGGGAAGAGTTGGAGGCAGCAGGAAGAGATTTAAAAAGAGATGAATCAATAAAGGAAGTCTGTGAATGCTGAGCAGGGCAGTTAAAAATAGGACTTTTTGGAGTTCACTTCCTGAGAGTCATAGTTCTTTGGAAGGCACCCTCTATATAGTCTAATGGGCAAAGACACTACCATTCCCAGACATTATTGCAACATCTTAAAAAAAAACCCATTAACAATAGGAAGCTAAAGCCAGAGAAGGCAATGTAGCTTAGATGTAGGCGTTCCCCCAGGAGAGTGAAATGTAGGTGTCTGTAGGTATGTGTTTATAGGCTGAAACTTCCTGAATTCTTCCAGGGGAACCTCTGGAGAATTCTGGGAGTTGCAGTCCAAAAACAGTACAAAGCGTACCTCTATCAACTGCTCGTATTAGACACATTTGTGAGGAACACCTTGCAGTCTGCCAGACCTGTCTAAGAGTGAGATTTACATGACAACTCCTTCTCCTTTCTCAATAGGTATAGTTTCCTTAGGCATCTGCTTGTTTAAGAAAGGCAAGAGAGTTGAGGGTACTTTGTTACTGTTAACCTTTTTCTTTTTAAACAAATGGTTTTCAAAAACTTCCTACCTTAAGTTGTTCCACCCAAAGCATTGAAGATTCTGTGTTCAAAAGTTGGTTGATACCCCCCAAGAAAGAAAGAAAAAAAACATAACTTTGCCTTAAAACAAAAAGTTATGGTTGAAGGTATACCTTTGAAAACCATGAAATTCAAAACACAGGCACATTAATATACCTTAACTTCCATCTCATATAAACACTACAGCACACTAGCTACCTTACTCTGTACACATTGCATCACTGGTAGTGTGAAAGAATTGAAATCAAACACAGTATCAGGATCTACAAACAGAGTTGCAGTACCATCCTAGTCAGTTACATAATCTTAACCCATGCAGTCCTCTAATCCAATTAATTAGTATTTTGAGAAAGGATGTTTCGTTGTACTTCATGGATGCAATCCTAAGTAAACACTTATTTTGTCTTCTGGGAATCACAACAGAACTCACCTTTTGTATTTATCTGGAGATGATGTTAAGATACAAGGACATATCAGAATACAACTTCAACTATAACTTTTTGAAACCACAGTCTCCCCACTTTGGAAATTATCAGTGAGGATTCATATTTGGCAGGGAGACGAGTTGATCAGCATTAAAGTATAGTTTAACGAAGAAGCATTTGACAGATTTTAAAAAATCTGATTAATATTAATACAGAATAGAGATACAGAATGAATATATATACTGTATATGAGCTCTACTGGATCTAGACTAATATGAATTGTCCATTGGTTTCATCATAGGATTGAGGATGGACCTTATAAAAGAAGCTATAAGCCTTTCCTTTGCAAAACCTAAGCAAGGCTACTAATGATAAGACCTTTTGGAGGTCATTAATTCATATGGTTGCTATAAGCTAGAAGTAAGTAACTTGAAGGCTTATAAGAACAGCAACATCTTAGGTTCCACTGAAATCAATATGAAAGTTTGTCACAACTTAGATTCAACAAAGGCAGGATTCAGTGCTCAATGTCTGGCAGAATAGCCAAAATGTAGTAAGGCTGGTCTCCCTTCCCCATTACAGCCATCAATGCACCTCCAGGAGTTACTCCAGAGCACTGGCAAATCTTTCGGAGCTGTTGGGTTATTTTGGCAGTTCTGGGAATTGTGGAAGAAATAAAAAGGAAAGTTGTGTTGTGATAGCCAAGTTGGATTTAACCTAAGCCTGGATCCAATCAATTAGCTTGAACTCAAACAAAAAATAACAAAGGCAAGAAGTCACAGTACATCGAGCAAACAGCTGTGTGCCTCCATTTATTTCAAAGCTTTATAGACACAGGACACTTTTATTGGTACCCATGTAAACAATGAATGAACTAGTCTTTTATGGCTATTGAAACAATATAGTACTCTTTTTTGATGAAAGGCAAGATGTGCAAAAATGATCATGCTTGATCATGATCTTATATGCAATGTATTATCAGCTGCATGTTATCTCGCCTCCCCATCAACAACTGAACACACATCTTTTTGAGACCATATATAGATTTACAATAAGTGCAAAGTATGAGAAAAATCTGCATATATGAAACAAAGTTTCTGGCAAGCCTGTTGTTTATATGTGTCAAATAACATGTAGTACATGTTGAAAATGAACACAAACATCAGCTTACTAGGATATCATGAACATATAATATTTCTCAAAACAAAAGAAAACAAAACAAAGACTGACATTTATTTCCATAATACTACTAAGCCCAACTCTTCCTTCTTTTTGGCTCTTTTTTTTGACATTTATTTCCACAATACTAAGCTCAACTCTTCCTTCTTTTTGGCTCTTTTTTTGACACATTCTATTGAATTGTTTAGAAAACAAATATGTACAGATAAAAACACAGTGGTTACAATGGCTGAAATTCTGTTGTTCAGTGTAGTAAGTCACAACTAGAGTAAGCCTATTGAACCAGTGAGGATTTGGTGAGTCAGCTCATCCATGAGCTCCACTGAGTCAATGGGCATAAGCCCAACTGTGACTTACTGTGCTAAGCAACAGGATTTCAGCTAATGATACCAAACTTGCCTGGGATCTGAGAAAGTGGCACTTTTTTCTTTGGTACAGTTTTCAATGGACAGAATGAAGCTGCAGTCAGCATTCTGAATGTTAAATTTGACAACATTTGTTTCTTAGTCTTCCTGGTTATATTTTGGGCTGAAAACCTGAGGAGTTGTAAGTGGTATTGCCAAACAGTTAGGTGGGTACCAGAATGGAATCATAGAGGGGTGCATGTAGTTAATGGCCAGGCTCCCAAGGTTAGGCTTGTCCCCCAAAGGGAAAATGAGTCTTGCAGGTGCACAATGCAGAAGTGCACAAGTTGCCAATATAGGCCTCAGCAGAAATTGCACAGATCTGATAACTCTTGGCCAGAGTATTAGCAGACACAGCGGCATTCATTCTCAGTTTCTTGGTAGCAGCCCATTTAAAAAACTTCAAAGAGCATCTGTTCAAAGTTGCTGGGTTGATTTGTAAATACTGATGCCATTCTTTGCATACCTAAAGTTACAAAATGGAAACTCAAACCTATTTCACCAAGTTCACATTTGTGTTTACTGGCTCACTTAAACGTTGTTTGTATTGATGATATTCATATCTCAAAGACGTTGCTTAGCAAACAAAAATTTTCAAATGGTATAAATTAATTTCTCATGGTACGAAACTTTGGCTTTCGTAGACTAAGCATTGGCTGCTTAATTTTGGGCTTGTCTTCAAACAAGATGGCTTCACTTTCGGTGTTTGGAAATCTGTTCCGATATATCTGTGGATATTCTTTCTGGAACTGAGAAAGATGATATCAAGGATTATTTAAATATTATTTTATGTCTCTATTAGTTTTAAGTCTTAATCAATTTGTTTTAATTAATTGTTTATTTAAGACTTTTTTGTATGCTGCCTTGGGCCCCCACTAGGGAAGAAAAGTGGGATAAAAATGAAATACATAAAGCAAAAGCTTATATTGAACACAGTTAAAAGCAACAACACTAAAGAAGGTTGCTGAATGTAATAGACATTTTCTGGTTAGGTCAGATAACTTGCCATGGCAGATCTTTGATATTAAAAATTAAAAAAGCCAGTTTCATCAATCATGCCAAATTATTTACCATTAAGAAAGCTGAAGCAATTTGTGATGGACTTCAACATAATCTCTCTAAATTATGTGAACAGGTAACAAAAATGAGAGTGAAGCTCTATGTCAATAAATGTAAAATGATGGATAATCAACATGTTCAATGATGTGGGCTGAAAAAGCAGGGCCTAATCAGAGATCTTAAAGTTTCCAATGGATGGCTCAGTGAAAAAGTCATTTTGTCTGATTTGGCAGTGTCAAATGAATAATTTACACATAAAGTACCGTGTTTCCCAGAAAATAAGACAGGGTCTTATATAAATTTTTGCTCCAAAAATGCATTAGGACTTATTTTCAGGGGATGTTTTATTTTACAGTCATGTCATCTTCTTCTGGTTGCTGCACAAGGGTGGAGGATGGAGTTTCACTTAACTGGGCCTTATTTTTGGGATAGGGCTTATATTACGAGCATCCTGAAAAATCATATTAGGGCTTATTTTCAGGTTAGGTCTTATTTTTGGGGAAACAGGATATTATTCTGAAATGGACTGAAAATCAAATAATGAATATGACACTAAGTTGCCTTATTCATTTGTGATCACATATATAGCTATGTTTTGGTCATTCCATCTCAAGATATTGCAGAGCAACAAAAATGAGAACAGGGCAGCCAAAATGATCAGGGAAATGTTCAATCTTCTGTACAAGGAAAGGCTAAAGTATTTGGGGCTGTTCAGAGAAGCAGAGACACAAATCTATTACTGAGGATAGTATGATACAGATTTATAAAAGTATGCATCTGTACATAGAGAGATGTACAGAAGTACATAGAGAATCCCCTGCCAATACAAAAATGTTGAGTCCCCCAGTTAAAATTCATTATTTTTTATGTTCACACCAAAAAAAAAAAAATGCTGTAACAATATGGCAGCAATGCAGTGGATCTGGATTAACAGTGGAATCTAAGAATTCCATTAGACAGAGCTCTTAGTGGTCACTAGATGCAACCTTAAAGAGAAGACACATTGTGTTCCTAAACATGAATTGCTTGACAGAACCAGCAAAGAAGGTGGGAGCTGATGCTACACATTGCTTGTGGACATCCTCGAAGAATCTGGGAGAACAGCACTGGAAAGAAGTGCTTGACTTCATGCACTCTTGGTCTGATCTTGAAGAGGGCATATGGAATGTTCTTATGCCCCAACATGGTACTGTACTAGGACCAGCCCTTGTTTCATACTACGTTATACGTTATACACTTTGCTGCAACTGCAGTACGTAGCCCTTTGCCTACTGAAAACTTTTGTAAAGAACTGTAAGAGCTCTTATCAACTATAAATGATAGTTTATCATATAGTTGGAATCTGGGGGATAGGGCAAGGGCAGGGTGCCAAGCTGAAGTACTGGTAAGGTTATTTACTTGTACTCGATAACTATGCAAATCTAGAGCTACCCACCAGCAGTTCTTTACTGGAAGACATAATAGAAGGAAGAAGTGAATTTGTGAGTACAGTACTGACTTTTACTATTGTTTGGGAACATGACACGGTATACACCATTCAAGTCATTACAGTTAATTGAGCCCATAAAGCACTCAAAATATTATTTGGGAGGTGGACCCTCTCCATTTGGAGCAAATTAGCTCATGGGCTTTGCCAGTTCACAGGTGCTTGAAACTGGTTTCTCGTGACTCTGCCTGTGTCCCTCTCATTGACAAAACATGAAAGCAAAGTTTTATGTGGGAGTGGGAAAAAAGACATCAAAGTCTGCTGCAAGGATGATTAAGACAGCCCAAATTTTCAAAAGTTCATAAATCAGAATGCTGACAGAAAAGGCCAAGTTCGCATTCCTTTTTGCCCATAAAACACATACCAGGAGAGGATTCTTGGGGCAGGCGCTACCAACATAAGGTGCCTATTAACAGCCAAAATGATCATTATTCATCCAAATCACATTTCTGAACTGAACTAAAAACCAACGTCTAAGGCTTCCTTCTGTTTTTGAACATGTTCATAAATACATCAGTAAAGTCATCTAGTTAAATGGAAGGAAGGGACTGTTATTCTCTTTGGGCGCCCGCGCACAACTACTGAATATATTAGCCCACTTATCCATGTTTTTATTATGTCCGTTATATTTATATCCCATCTTTCCTTTGAAGAGCTCAAGGTGACGTGCAAAGGCTCTCCATCTTGATTTATTCTGTAAAAACGCTGTTTGGGATAAATTATGTTTACGGAGGCTGGCTCAAGTCAACCAGGACATTTCATATTCCAGTGGAGGTCAGAGGTTGGATCTCCCACACCTCATGATGTGGCATTGATTCTGAAGAGATTCTACCATGGGGCACATTAAGCTGCACTTACTTTCTTGAGGTAAATCCTAAGCCTCACTGTCACCAGTTGCTCCATGTCAAAACAGGGCAAGCTGTCCAAGGGATACCTACATGCTCTGGTTTACATCCCCTTTTCCCCATGATGACAGGGACTCAATTACTTAAAACATAGCCAGAAGCTACCAGGCATATGTCAGAGCTGTTGTATTGTTGGGCTGTTTTGGCAGTTGGTGAATGCTTGCCCCAGCAGCTCAAGGACAAACCTCCAAGGGCTCTGGGAGAAAAAGGGTTTTGTTAGCATTTGGAAGGGAAACAATGATCGGTCCTCTACCCCGTTCTTTGGCTACTGGGTTACATAAGCTCTTGTCCCTACATCTCTTTGTCCACAGAACTGTGTCAAGGCATGCACAGTTTGCATACTGCACAGAGCAGCATGGTTGGGCAAGGATAATACTGTATTCATTGTTCCCCTTTGGGTACAATGCAGCAAGAATGCATATACATAAAGCTAACATGAATGTTGTGGACAGAGAGAACACGATTCTTTTCAGAGTAACTCAGCATCACCTGTTATTATAACCTCCAAATAAATAACTTTTCTTCCTGTTATTTCTTGATGTTAACAGCCCCCTCCTCCCCCAATTTCCTATTGACTGAAAATGTATCTAACAACTTCTACGGTTCAACTGTCCTTTTATGACTGGACAGTGAAGATATGCTATCAAATAAGGACAACTGCCCACGGATATACCTGGAAGATCTTGGCCTCCTTGGGCGAAGATACAATCACTGTTTTATAGCTTATGTTGTCAGTTTCTTTCTGCTACAAAATATTGGCTTAAGCCATTTTACTAACCAGAATGAAACCACAGTCTATTCAGACATTTGGCTGAATTTAAAGAACATTTCAAAACCCCACAAAGTCAGCATTACTGAAAAAGAGAGAACAAGCATAGAGAACAGTGGACAACAACGTGGTGATTTAAAAGCTGCTTGTTTACAGCTGGGCTCCAGTCATAAGACTTGCTTAGTGAATTCTAGGACAAGTTCTGTGTAGTAGTTTGTTCAGAGGAATTTCCCAAAGGTTTTTCTGCAGAACACCAGAAATCCTCTGTGTTAAGATCTGCCAAAGGTTGCTGAACTTTGCCTCAAAAGTAGATTATAAGAAAGTGGGTGTCAGATGACCTTGAATAAACCAAGTTCTCTTGGAAAACTGAATTCTTATGGAATATAATACCTACTTTTTTTCATAATGATACATTCAATTTAGTGCACTAAGAATACCAATGCAGAGGGAAAATAGGGAGGAACGTATTGTAAACATTACTCTTTTAAGGCGGCAATCTATATATACCTATGCTTAGGAGTATGCAGCACTGAATTGAATTTGTCTCGTACTGTGTAGTAGGTAGGGTGAGAGACTAAGACTCGGGAGACTTGGGTTTGACTACATGCTTGACCATTAAAACTCAGGGGCTGGGGTTGGTACACCCTAAACCACTCATTAAACACAATTCCTTTAAAAATTATGTTAGGATCACTATAAGATGGTTCTGACTTGACAGCATGTAAAACACACACACCTGGTAAATTCAATCAGATCTGTTTACAAGTCAGTGTACATAGGGTCAAGCCTCTGCTCCTGACTTGCCATTGTGTTATAGTAGCATCTTTAGAAAAAAAAAGAACCCAACTCATCTAGTTTGGAAAAAGTTTTAGAAGAGGTAGCTACGCTAAACTGTGCTAGATTTTTTTGGGGGGGGGGCATCAACAATCAACTATACCTCACCAAAGGATCTGATGTGGTGGCCCCTCCCTAGCACAGGTACAATCCTACTCCATAAGAATACCAAGTTATTAAGGTACCAATTGGGGTGCAGAGCTCCTATGACTATCCCCTTCTTGTAAGGAATGCCTCATTGGGTGTCACAGTATGTCTCATTTACAGTATGAGAGCTAACATGGCAACATAAAATCAGACTATAGCAGTCTTCAAATAGAGACCCAACTAGAGAAATTTAGGCTTGTGTTTCCCGCACCAAAATAACCTCTTTCCTTACAGATGGGTTTTGTTCACAGAAGTGCTGGAGATAACTTACTAAAATTTGAGGGCTGACAAGGAATGCCTGTTTTAAATCCAGGTTTTATAGAAGTTATATTCCATTACCTGCTTAAGTTTTTTCTTCTTTTCTTTCAGAGATAAACGTCTGTCCTTAATAATGTTTTCTAAAAGTTCAGCAACTGCTGCCTGAGATATAGAAATTCTTTGTTCATCAAACTCCTGAGATGTAATCCTCCTGCAAAAGGAGTAAGTGGGGAAGATGGTGCTCAATTCATCCCCTAAACATTCAATCTGCAGAGAAAGAAGCAAGATAGTGAGAAGCTCTCGGCATTTTCACCAGAACTGGTATAGTGCACTGAACAACAACAATTTGAAGTTTCCAATTCAGACCCATGCTTCGTTATGGAATGGCTCAAATACTGCAGTATTCTTTTAGTCCACAACTTGAGCTCTGAAAAATAGGGCACAATTGGTCCATCAAGTGTTTTGGACTATAATCCCATTAAACCCTTATTGGCTTCTGAGAGTAAAGTCCAAAGCATCCAGAGGGTTGCTTATCTCCGATAATAATATAGATCAGGTTATCAGGGCTGAAGCTGCCAAAGGGATAAGATATCACACATAGCAATAGAATCTAAGAAAGCTACAATTTTTTTTAATGTTGAAAGATCTAATGTAGTGATAAGTAACCTTCCACTGACAACCTCCACCTTTCATTGATTATCCCCATCAAATGCCTCTAAGCAACAAGTAAAAAATAGCATAAAGTGTACCTTAGACAATTTCATTATATATTTATAATATATGCATATATCTAAGATGTACACTGATGTCAGGATTATTTCAATCCTAGGGACAATATGTTTGTGTGTGTGCTAGGGAGGAAGAAACAGCATGAGTTACAGCAGAACAGAAGATTAATGCAACACATCCTGTTTGTCAAGTAGTATGGACTATCAAAATGCATTTTAAAAGCCTTAAATAGCCTTGGGGAAGGTGTCTCAAGATAAAAAAGCTGATGAAAAACACAATGGCCAAAATCCCATTTCTCCATATGGTCAGTTGATTCAAATAGACCTACTTTAGCTGTGAACAACTTTAGTAGTACACGTTGCAACTAGAGTACACCTATTTGAATCAGTGGATCCTACTGTGTTGACTCACCAAATCCCCGTTGATTCAATGGACCTAATCTTTTCTGACTTATTACATGAAGCTTTAAGATTTCAAGCAGTGCATTTTATGACCTTGCGTTTGAAGAGAAAGAGACATGCTTTCAGTTTTTTCTCTCTCACCTCAGTGGTTTTTAGTGTTTCTAAGTGGTCTTGCACGGCAACCTGTAAATAACTTGGGATATCTAGAATTTCTTGATGATGATCCATTAGAAATGAAACAAGCCTTACAGCCAGCAACTCATCAAGGTCTACTTCTTCTTCACAACACAAGATACATCGAGAAAATGTTTGTATCATCTGGAAAAATGTAAACAAGGAATTACAAAATAAATTTCTACCAACAATTGCCCCAATACTTTTGCGATGCCATATGTGACAAGAAAGTCTGTGCAAGTGAGTGCATGGAGTGTCATGCAAGTGAACTAACTGGCAGGTAGTTCCCAATGCCCACAATGGATACACCTGCTGCCAGAGGAGGAAGCCTGCCCTTTCAGACATAGCAGTCATTTAACTATATGGCATAACATTTTTGCACTACATCCCACACTGACCTATGCCTCCTTTGCCTAAAGCAGTAACTGAAGACTCAATTTGGGGGTGCAATAGAGGAATAGGGCTTTTGCCCAAATATCCTGCGTGTGGGTTTTCCAAAGGCATCTATCTGGCTGATCATGTAGAAAACAGGATGCTGGATTCAACAGGTCTTCCGCCCAATACAGCAGGACTCTTAACTGCAGTAGCTCGCTGGAAGAGGGACTGAGTTTTCCATTTCTCCTAATAGCCTATGGGTGATTGTTAAATGTTTTGGTAGTTGCTAGTTTTATGACCTTTTCCCCCCTAAATGCTGCCTTAACTGCAATAGTGACAGAGCAAACAAAAAGATCAGTAAGTACAAGAATATTATATACAAAAGTGTACCATATTTGCCGGCGTACGACTTTTTGGCCCTGAAAAACATGCCTCCAAGTGGGGAGGGGGTCGTCTTATATGCCGGGTGCACTTCCAGCAAACCCTCCCTCTCTCCCAGCGAAGTCACTTACCTGGTAGTAAGACTGAGTAGAACTAGCCCGCTCCTCCTTGGTAGCCTGGGAACAGCCTGACTCTAGTGCCAAACAGCTGACTGTCGGGAACCAGCAGAGAGGCAGCAGCCATTTTCACATGGCTGCTGACTCTCAAAATGGCTGCCGCCTCTCTGCTGGTTCCCGACAGTCAGCTGTTTGGCGCCGATGCTGTTCTTCTTCCAGCAAACCCTCACTCTCTCCCAGCGAAAGGAACCTAAAGCGGCAAAACTAACTCTCCCCATAATGCAGCCAAAGCAGAATCACGCATGCGGAAGAGGGGTAGTCTTATACAGCAAGTATATAACAAATTCTACATTTTGAGTGGAAATGTTGGGGGGGGGTGTCGTCTTATACGCACAGTCGCCTTATACGCCGGCAAATACGGTACTTAGACACAATTTGGCATACACAAAGAGAATGAGTAATTTGAGGAAATTTTGGAAAGAAATTTTGGAAAGAAAGAAGTCTTACCAAAGACCTGTTGCCCATTGCATCATGAAGTCTTGGCATATCAACATTTTCGCTCATGCGAGATATCATGCGCATTAGAAGTTGAAGTTTTCGGCGATTTGGTGGTGGAAGTAGAAGGCAACAGATCTGCAGTGCTTCAATAGCAACTCTTTCTAAATGAGGTTGTAACAGTTCTACGGAATTAAGAATTAGGAAGAGACACTCTCTGTAAGCATTTTGCTCCTATAATACAGGTGAAGACTAAGTCAAGAGTGCTCTGGACTCAGTACATTAGTAATTAGGTGCGAGGGGACTAGTCTAGTGATTTGAACTTGGCATGCAAATTTTCTTTTTCTGTAGAAACTGTTCAGAGAAGAATCAAGGGTATTATGTCAGTTATGCATACTCTAAATTATAAACAGAACACACATGCACTAAGAAATTGATGTTGGTTTTGCAAGACACTAGCTTAAATGTTACTTATCTTCAAAGCCCATAGAATCTCTGTTAAAAATTTTTGTTACATCTATTTAACCATTAAAACCCTGGGACTGGTGAGAAAGCAGACATGCAAACTTGTTAGTAAAACCAACAAACCAAATAACATGCTTCAAAAGCAATCTTACGTGATGTGCCAGCCAACATAAAGGAACTGGGAGAAAACGTGCTTTCTGAAAGTTGGGTTGCACTTTTGCTGAGTCTTTTATTGATGGCCATATCAGAATCCCTTGGTTTACTTCCCATCTGAGCGACCCCTTTAATATTGCTTTGAAATTTTTGACCAAAAGAACCTACAGGGTGTGGTTTCACTGTGATCTCTGCAACTGGAGCATGTATGCCACACCAACTGCACTTGCTATTTCCACATAAACTCTGAGACCTGCGCAGCTGGTTTGATTTGTAGTTTGTAGTAGTTAGCTCTTGATCTGGAAAACTTGATGCAGAAACTGTCTTGAAACTTTGTACTTGTTTTTGGCTAACATTATTTAAGCAAACATTCAACAAAGAATTTGGCTTGGGATGCAACAGTGGGTTTTCGTGACATGCGAAGGGCATTTTGTGAACTCCAGCTTGAGACAGGGTTTTCCGTCCATCGTTAATATCCGTGCTTGAGACCGTATCTGCAATTCCCTCCAAAGAGTAGCACCTTGCCTGAAGTCTTGGAGGCAGAGTTTGTTCATTTTGCGGTCTTGAAATATTCTGACAACTGCCACCCATAAATAGCACATTACCACGCTGCAACCTTATGTTACACCCCTTTTCAGCTGTACAATTTTTAGAAATAACTTCAGTAGTTTGAGATCCATCTCTTTGGTCAGTCTCACACCGGAGCAAACTTAGCAGGAGGCATTCAGTTGACTTGAAAGAGTTTAAATGGGGAGTTTTTGAGAGCTCGGGGTCATTCTGGGTGCCAGATTTTCCACTGGATTTATTTGGAATTGTGATGTAGCCACACAAAACTATCAAAAAATGAAATAGAGGTTCAGATGCAGGCCATGGAATAATACAAGACAAGCAACATAACTGAAAGAGTTGAAGTGGAGAGTACAGTGTTAGTGAAGCTGAAGGAACTCTTGGCTCAGCTGGAAGATGCTCAGAAACATATAAAAAGAACAAAGATATATAACATACCATTTTCCTCCAATGTTTTCTCCAATATAGCAATTATGATAACTTCATGGTACTGCACATGAAACCAGAAGTCATCAAAATTACGAATTATTCATACTAATTATCCATATTTCGCTATGAAATCAGGATAAAGAAAGCATTTTCCCTTAACCCGTCTTTGCAACTCCACACTGAAATCCTGCAGCAACCTAATCTAGACTGGATACATACCTAAGATGTTCGCAAATAATTCATAGTACTGAAAAGTAAGCAAAGGTTCGGGAAGTTTAAGAAAATAATCAGCAACTGTTTTGAAGACATCTCGTTCAAAACCCGCATATGTTGGTTGGTTCATATCAATACTTCTAGGCCCTAAAGTAAAACAGAAAAAAAACCCATCTATAATACTCATCTCAATTACAGAAAAAAATTATAATAGTAACAAGAAACACTGTAAGTAGAGCCTACTGTCACTTAAATAGACATCTTCTGTCAACTATGTAGTATCTGCATGAAGCAACGTTCCCTCTAGTTTTCCAGAGCAGGGCCCCCATTCTGTGTGTGTGGGGTTTCCATCCGTGACCGGAAGAAAATGGGTGGTAACACTGGCTCAGCTGTGCCCCCACCACCACCAATGTAGCTTAGAGGGAATGTTGGTATGAAGTAGTATACCAATTAAACTGTTTTCTTGAAAATGCAACAAAAATAAAATGTTAGCTGCAGTTAATCATTATTGAATTTGGACTAGACAGACATTTAACATGATCAGTCAAGACAACTATAACTGTACAGAGGAGGTATAACAGCAATTTCAGATAAATCTTTACATTGCACAGTATGTTATGGAACTATACAGCTCTTTCATTCTTATTTAGTTATTTATTTATTTAATTTATAATATGTTATGGAACTACACAGCTCTTTCATTTTTATTTATTTATTTAATTTATATCCCGCCTATCTGGTCAATATGACCACTCTAGGCGGCTGGTCTTTTTGCTCTTATTCTATTTACTTATTCTATTTACTCTAGATGGAGTTTAGAACAGAAAAAACTAAGAGAAATTAACAATATACTACTCATATTCCACTCAACAATTTATTTGGTTTGAGCATCTGACACCTCAAATAGGTCTTTTTGCTCTTATTCTTTTACTCTAGATGGAATTTAGAACAGAAAAAATTAAGAGAAATTAACAATATACTACTCCTATTCCACTCAACAATTAATTTGGTTTGAGCATCTGACACCTCAAATATTTTTTCTAACTTACAGTTTGCCAAACACTTCATAGCTGACAGTACCCAGTGAGGGAGATCTTCTGTAAGAAAGAAAAATAAAAATTTAACAAGTTGTCATTATTTTTCCATGAACCAACATTATATATTTAGCTTGTTTTTATTCAAGCCTTCATCCAAGGAATCCAACAGCATATACGGAAAGATACCCAATACAGTACTTGAGATATCTTGCATGGTTATTGTGACATTTAAAATGGCAAGCTAAGGTCAGGCCAAAAATTATTCATATGCCCAAGGTCATTCTCTTATCGTCAGAGGAATGGATAGTTGAACCTAGAGTTCCTAGTCAATACATTACACTTGCTTGCTTTTAACTGACAAGCAGATTTAAAATACATAGGCTGAGAAGTGGCTTACATGATTTCAACCTTATTTATTTTATATACCTATTTCTCACCCTTTCCAGGCTGGTTTCCAATAAAATAAAATAAAATAAATTGCAAGGCATTTATATGCTACTTATTTGCAGTGATGCTAATGAATACTTACAGAGAAGTTCCATCAACAGGATTCAGTAACAAATTTTCTAATTATACCTAATTGTGTACTATAATTATATTCTCAGGATACAGGTAGACATCATCACTCAAAATAAATTGTGTTGTTACCCTGTTATTTCCCTTTTTTTCCTGGACTTTTCCAAAAGAAAGGAAAAAATAAAACCAGCAGTGAAACAGAAAGGACGGTTTAGAGGATGAAAATGAAATCTGGATCTGTTTTAAATTTTTTGCATGTGAAGGACTGCAGTTGCACAATAAATGTCTCATCTGAGGCCCATTCAGGCATTCTGTAGTTCAAATAAACACCAAAATACAAGCTAGCTTTTGTCCCCCACCATCCTCACTCCTCATGCAGAGGACAATCTGACCAGCAGAGTCTCATGTACACACTGAGATTTGCATTTAATCAAGAATCCTGAAAAAGCAAGATCCCTAATCATGAGCAGAGCCTTCTCACATAGCAGAGGTTCCCATCTTCAGACTCTCTACAAGTGGAGATTGATAACAGAGGGTATGAGGCTAGGTGACCTTCCTTAGCCTCCACTGTGTGCTTACTTTCACTATACTTCGGAATATCTGAACAGGGCTCTGACAGCATCTTCAAACAGAAAATTATTATTTTGGTCATGTTTTGATGGGGAAGAACATATCCAGATATTACTAAAATAAAGCTACTGGGCTTGCCTGATTTTTCTTGCAGAAGAACGACACCACGTTTACTTGTATTAGTCATGTTGTATATTATATATTGTGGAATTACTTGAGCTGGGTCCAGAACTTCTTCCAATGATGGTATACCTAAAATAGTCTGCAAACTGTGGGGAGAAAGGAACAAACAATGCAAGAAATGAGCAAATAACATTTGGAGCTTCTTAAGAAAACAGGATTGGGAAAGGATCAAATTAGTGTTCAAGCAATTCTCAAATAATAAATATGACTTTTCCCCACTGTGTTGGTCACGTGCAATCTGTGAATCAGTCATGTTTCATGTGGACTTCACCACTGAGAGATCACAATAAATAACATACAGAAGTCTACTGATGGTTTTTTTTGTTATTATTTTTAAATTTTTATTATTTCCAGGGTAAGGGGAAATGACCAGAAGTCTACTGATGGTTTTTTTTTGTTACTATTTTTAAATTTTTATTATTTCAAGGGTAAGGGGAAATGAATCGGGATAACAATGAATATATCATGTCATTTCTTATCACATATTATCTATGCTTACACATGTCATTACATTAAGAATTTTTTAATCTGTTAATTGCTTATATACTTCCAACTAGAGTTATTTGACTATTTTGTATTAAAATTATTGCATTTGGCTTTCAAGTTATAGAATGGATCCAGTTATATACAGGTTCCCATTTTTCGGTTGCTTCTTAGATTGAATTGTCTTTCAAAGCTTCTGTTAATATGTCCATCTCCACCACTTCCATAATCTTTTCTGTAAATTCTTCCCGGTTTGGTATTTCAGTTTTCTTCCATTTCCATGCATATAATATTCTGGCTGCAGTTATTATATGTATTACCAAATGGCTATCTCTCCTATCCAAAGTCTATGGCAACATATTTAATAAAGATAATTATGTTTTAAATAGAATATTACATATTAGAATTTTCTGCAAACATTCATGCAGAAGCCTACTGATGTTTATACACTGTGTGTATAAAATGCTCCAACTAATTGTGGCTAACTGATGAGATAGCAAGGTACATTATGTTTGCACAATCTGGTGTATGCCGTGGCATCTCATACTTTAGCTGCAATTAGTCATGGCAAGTTACATAGACATTATGTGAACACCAACAGGATTATTGTTCTTTTTAGTCGTTACGTTGTGTCTGACTCTTCGTGACCCCATGGACCAGAGCACACCAGGCCCTCCTGTCTTCCACGGCCTCCTGGAGTTTGGTCAAATTCATGTTGGTAGCTTCGATGACACTGTCCAACCATCTCATCCTCTGTCGTCCCCTTCTCCTCTTGCCTTCCAAATTTTCCCAACATCAGGGTCTTTTCCGGAGAGATTTCTCTTCTCATGAGATGGCCAAAGTATTGGAGCCTCAGCTTCAGGATCTGTCCTTCCAGTGAGCACTCAGGGTTGATTTCCTTAAGAATGGATAGGTTTGTTCTCTTGGCAGTCCAGGGAACTCTCAAGAGTCTCCTCCAGCACCACAATTCAAAAGCATCAATTCCTTGGCGGTCAGCCTTCTTTATGGTCCAGCTCTCACTGCCATACATCACTAGTGGAAAACCATAGCTTCGACTATGCAGACCTTTGTCGGCAAAGAGGATTGTAGCCAACATAAAATTAGATCTTATTAGAAGAAGGTTGGTCATGTGAATCCAGCTTTGTTTTCAACATAGTGTCTAGTCTAACTCTCCTGTAATGTTATAAAAGCATCCTGTTTAAGAGATAAACACGGATAATTTAGAAATACAAAATGCTAGAGGAAGACAGAAAGCTGGCACTTTTCAAGCCCAGCAGAAATTTCTTGAAAACCTACAGTTGTAATACACATACAGTGGTGCCCCGCATAGTGACGATAATCTGTGCAGCAAAAATCGTCGCAATGCGGATTCGTCGCTATGCGAAATTAAAAAGCCCATAGGAATGCATTGAAACCCCTTCCTATGGGCTTAAAACTTAACTTTTAAGCGAAAATCCTCTATACGGTGGCCATTTTAGCTGCCCGGTAAATGAGGAATCCGTCCCTGTTTTACCCGGCGACCATTTTTGAACTGCCGATCAGCTGGGGAAAAATCATCGCTTTGTGAAAATCGGTAAGCGAAACAGCTTACCGATCATTGCAAAGAGATTTTCCCCCATAGGAAACATCGCAAAAGCGATCGCAAAAACATCATCACTATGCAGATTTGTCGTTAAAAGTGTGCTGTTATGCGAGGCACCACTGTACGTTCCCCACTAATCTTCAAAGTTAAACTACTTTTCCTTTTTAAAACCCATAATGTCTTGGTAAAGCTACTAAAATAAATATGATTTAAAAAAATAATTTAGGGCCACAACTATTTTTAATCAGTGGTGTACAAGCTTGTGGAATTCTAACCTTCAACATGGTCTGTGCAGGGTTGCCACTTAAATTTTATTTTTCATTTCCCTGATTTTCTCTGACTAACATTTGTCAATTTCCCTGACCACCATTCAAATATAACCACATGCTAAAAAATGAATAGGTCGTGTTACATTAATGCAAGTCTTAATGAAACGTTCTACTCTACAGCTACACAAGTATCAACTGCGAAAATATTTGTCAAAGTAAAATTTACTATCAGCTTCTTTCAACATTAACTGCAGCAACATGTTTTGCAATAGCACCAAAATTTATACCAAGATGGAAACTTCAATTCAAGTAAACTCTGAATGCTAACAAATGACATAACATTTTTTGTTATTGTTTTAAAGGTACACTAAAAAAAAATATATAAATGCTCTATCTAAAATGGTTTCTCTGAAGCCACATTACAAAAGTTACAGTTTTGAAAATGCAGTAATAATCAAGTTAGAAATCAGAATTCAAGTAATCTGTTTTTAAAGAATAAAGATATAAAACTATCACTCCTACAGTTTTCTCTTTTTATTTTGTATCTCTTTCAGTTTCTCATCAATTGTTTCCTCTTCAATTTTGGCTTCTTCTCTCAGTCTTTTTGTTAGCATTTTCAAGATGTTTAATTTGTCCCTCAAGTTTCTTCTTTCTTCTGAATTTCTTCTTGTTGCTTATGGTGTTCAGCCTCCTAGTGCTTTGTGTAGCATGCATGGGTGTGCCTGACTGACTGCCACAGATTCATATCCATTACAACAGATGCAGGTTCAAGACAGCACCATAAATCTGACATTGACAGACAACAGTTTCTTCATGCAAGTTCTCAATTAACATTGATTTATTGACTGAAAATCCACTTTCAACAGAAGCATTACCGTGAGACAAGGTACATTTTGACAACAGTCTACAGGTCTGAGAAACTTTGGTTGGACATCAAAATACCATTGTAAAACATATCCAGTCCAACTTCATCAGTTTGTTTTTCAACATATGCTTGAAACTGAGCCTTGAATTCATTGTGGGTAGCTGTGGTCAAAGCAGTATACTGTTGCTTTGATTTTTCCGCTACTATGTCATTGATCTGATTTGCTGCATGCTGTTTTTCAACATATGCTTGAAACTGAGCCTTGAATTCATTGTGGGTAGCTGTGGTCAAAGCAGTATACTGTTGCTTTGATTTTTCCGCTACTATGTCATTGATCTGATTTGCTGCATGTACATCTTCAAGAACATGCCCTATTCTGGTGATTCCAAGATTTAGCTTGTATAAAATGATAGTAGGATCTAACGCTGAAAGGCCACGCACCATCTTGAACTTCAAAGGACTTTTCTCAATCAACTTTTCAACAACAGCTACTACCTTGTTTCAACACTCTAGGCAAAATTCAGCCACTTGACGTTCACTTAGTTTAGTTTCTTTCAACAGCTTATTTGCTGCAAAGCCAACGTCAACCTTCCTTCTGTCAAGCAAGTTCTCAGACAATTTCATGTCAATTGTTAACAACTGGGAACCAGAAGACACATGTTGCAGCTTTTCTGATTTTATGCAATGACTCATTAGCTTCTTGAGTAGTTTACAAATTTCTTCATACAAAAAGGTGCCAATGGTTTTTGGTTTTGAAAGTGGGAACCCTATGTGAGACAGTACAACATACCTGTGGTTTCCCCAGTGGCATAGCATGGGTTGTAAGCACCTGGGGCAAGCCAAGTATTGTGGGGGTGTGGGGTGGGAGAAGCCCTTGGGGTGGTGCCATGAAGCAGCTGTGGAGCCACTCAAGGTCTACGCTGGCGATGGCAGCAGGCCCACAGCTCTTGGTGGCTTGGACTCAAGTTGCCAAGAAGGGGAAGAGGAGCATGAGATGCAGCTGTGGGAGCACACTGGGCAGGGAGACCCACATGCCCCTAAGAATTCTGCACCCAGGTCAACCTCCCCTATAGCCCCCCTGATGCTACGCCACTGAGTTTTCCAATCCTTTGAAGACCAAAGCAGATTATTGCGATAGTGGGAATAATCTTTTCCATTAACTAACAGTTCTATCCTTTGGGTATATTGGAAAATGAAAGGAGGGAAGACTAGATATAACCACTCACTGTAACATAATAATGCTTCTCCAAATTTCTTCTATGTCAGCTGGAGTTATTTGCCTGATATGTGCTGTCTTTTCCGTACCCATCTGCATTGTTTCACCTTTTATATTTTCTGTGTTCTCCTGCAAAAGGGCAGTAACAAGTGCACAAGTGTTATTCAAAGGTTACTCAAGAGTTTCTAATGACATTCCATCATCCACTCATCCCAAATAGTCTGGAAGCTAGTTAGCAACTATACCCATATGAGATAGATAGCCATCTCAACGTTCAGCCCAGAATAAAGCAAAAAGCCAGTAGAAAACAGTTAATTTGTCATTGACATCATCTACTTTGAATAGGTTGAAGGCATGTTACATAATCTGAACAGCAAACTTGCAGAACACTAAAGGTCTCTGAAGCCATTCCAAAGGAACAAAACCATTTTCTCAAACAATAGGACAAAGTTTGATTGAGAGGCTTTTTCGTTGTCTTTCGATCTCTCTGCTAACATGTACTTGGCCTGTGTGAAGTGGTTCTTTAAGTAAATAACCAAGAAGGTGTGCATCAGTCAGCCACATGCTTTTTCCATCACATGTTGACCTCCAGTTTTCTGTGCCTCAAGGAAAGGACAGTGGACTACTAAAGCAAACTTCTGGGGACTCAAGAGTACGGGAAATTTTCATCCACAATGAAAGCAGGGATACCCTTTTGCCAAATAAGCGGTATGGAACCTTTGGCCAATCACTGTCAGTTAACTATAGCTCCCATCATGCCTCACTATTGGTCAGGTTGGCTAGAGTTCATGAGGACTTTAAATTCAGCATTCCAGAGAGCCACTGAATTGCTAAATTCATAATCCTGTGGGGATTTGACAACACAGGCCCCTAACCTTGTGCTGTTTTTTTCCTCTGGAGAACCCCAGTCTACATAGACAAGCATATGACACGTAACAAGTCCTTCACTGCAGGTTTTGGTTTGGTTTGGACTACTTATACTTCTAAGTAATTTGAATCCTCAAATTCAAAAGCAAATATTTAATGGTCTATAACATAGATTTGCTAATGACTCAACTATGCTTGCCTGGGGAATCTTAGTAGTAAATGTACCATACATTACTGGCTTAAAAAAAGAAACTACCATAGACTGTCAAATACTGCTAGCTGAATGTTGCATTACTTTGCACATAGTGCTTAAGTGAACTGCATCGTGAATACATTCCTTTCAACAGTGGATTTCCAGATGTTTCAGACACCAGCTTTAAGAATCTTCTACTAATGGCTACACTGGTTAGGGCATCCAGTGACTGAAGCTGAAAATATCTGGAGAACCAGAGGTGAGAACTTATGCCTTGAAAGCCACAAAGGCTACATTTTTAATGGGTAGCAAGTTCAGGTTTGCTAAAGAGAAAAGTACTTCATGCAATTTAATTTTTTTCTTTTCTTCTTCTTACATAAGTTATAGTTTTCTATAGTATTAGAACAAGTTTGCCAAATATCACTATTCCAAAACTAAGAAATTAATATGTATTTTAAGGACATAAAGAGCATAATGCCCCAAATCCTGTTGGAAAGGATTCACATGAGCAACAGGAATGACATCAAGATTGCAATGACAAAACTGGCTACACTGGTTGAGGCATCCAGTGACTGAAGCAGAAAATATCTTGAGAACCAGAGGTGAGAACTTATGCCTTGAAAGCCACAAAGGCTACATTTTTAATGGGTAGCAAGTTCAGGTTTGCTAAAGAGAAAAGTACTTCATGCAATTTAATTTTTTTCTTTTCTTCTTCTTACATAAGTTATAGTTTTCTATAGTATTAGAACAAGTTTGCCAAATATCACTATTCCAAAACTAAGAAATTAATATGTATTTTAAGGACATAAAGAGCATAATGCCCCAAATCCTGTTGGAAAGGATTCACATGAGCAACAGGAATGACATCAAGATTGCAATGACAAAACTCCCACTGATTAAAGTCTTCCTTCTGCAATATGGGGGTGCATGCGACCTCACTGCTTTGTGTGCAAGCTGTACACACTTAAATGCTAAAAGCCTTTAAACATCTGCAAGCTGATGCGGATGTCATTCCCTTTGCACAGACAGAGCTGGCAGCACGATTTCAGCCATTATGTATGAAAATATGTAATGATTTAGTGCCACATAATCATTAAAGAAATAGTTGTGATTTTACGAAAAAAATAATCAAAATACTAACCACTCAAGATATTTGCTACATGTAGATATCCACAATAAATTGTCATTTTATATACTATCAAGCCGGAACTGATAGCAACCCTAGTTGCTAACCTGTTACCTGATATTCCTGAAAAGCCACCAACAAAACAGCACAGAAACATATCCACCCCAGGCAAAACCCACCCAGAAGTTTTTTAAAAGGAGAAAACAGCAGTTACCTCTCTGTAGACACACACACAGGCTCACTCTAGAAAGCATGAGCTCTCTCAACTGCGACAGACCCTATAATGGCTGAAAGAGCTACAGCACAAAGAAGCAGCCTTGGCGCCACTTAGAAAGTTGAATTGGCCACCTTTTTTCCCTGCCTGTTTCTGTTCTTATGTCAAAACTCCATGCACAAGTTGAAGCAATATTTTTCTATTGGAGCAGTTCGTAAGTTGAAACGTTTGCAAGTAGGGACATGTGTAAGTCGAGATTTGACTGTAGTTTGAGTTTCCCATAACATGACCAAAGTATTCCAGCATTCTGTATTTTAGATTTACTCCCAACTAAATATGAAATGCATTGCATCCACTATTAATCAAGGACAACCTGTTACCTGATATTCCTGAAAATCATACTTTTTGGGAGTCCTCCGGGAATAATTTGACAATTTAAATACACTTTCTGTTTCTTTAGGTATATTTTCTGCATTTTCACGCAATGGACACCGGCGTGGCAGAATTTTAACTGGAGAAGCTGGAGGAAATCTATGATTTAACACAGAAAAATTCAGCATTACAATTACAATCTAATTCAATGTTATTGTGGTTTCTTGATCTACTCTGGTAAGAGGTTTACCGTTCAGGGTTATAAGATATACAGTATTTGAAAGTGTATTGAAAGTCAATAATTTTCATTGTCACACAAGTTACTACAGGATATGAAGCAGAGTTGAGTGGACAACTTGTCGCATTTGAGATCTTACAGTACTGCAGCTTCTGTAAGCCCCTCCAGCACAGATGAGGCAAAGGAAGAGGAACTGCAAGCCATCAACATTTGGAGGACACAGCCCCAAAATAGAAAAATTATTAGGTCTAAAACAGAAGAGTATGAAACCATCATCCTCAACATTACAATCACAACAAAAATGAGCATTACATGATCTAAGTTGAGCTAAGCATATGATCAGATGAGCATCACCTCTCCGTTTGGACTGCCACAGAGAAGGGCTGGTGAGGAATCAAATGAGGCGCTTGCAAGAGTGAACCAGCCCACCCCCCACAGTGTTCCTACCTTCACCCTTTTGATGCCTTTCAAGGGAAATCTACTATTTTGGTGTGGGTAGGATCACTCTGTATTGGTTCATCATCTCCAGCATGTGATCACTGGGAAGGGACCAAATAGCTTTCCTTTTCAATTTGCCAATTTCATAATATAGGCAAATTAAACTTCTTTGGCTTTGTGGAAGTGTTTAATTTCCAAAGGCAGGAGCTGGATGCTGTCTTTGGAAAGGAGAAACCATGTGTGCGCGCTACCTTTGTGTGTGCCTATGTGGCTTGGCTTGACTTTTTAACAGTGGCAAGTGGAGCATTGTTGCCATCAGGAGGGGGATTTCCAAAGGCAGTGTGGGGAGGCTGCCTCTGGAATGGCTGAACCCTTCCTTGCTCACACGTGTGCACCCCATCTACATGTCCACAGCTTGGCTTTTTAAAAGGGGCAAGTAGAACAGTGTCAGGAAAATTTTGTTTGCTTTTCTCAACTGGCTCTTTAAGATAAAGCAAAAATCTCTCTCATTTATTTATTTATTTGATTTGTACCCTCCCCATCTGGTCTATAAGACCACTCTAGGCGCAAAAATCTCTCTCGTTTATTTATTTATTTGATTTGATTTGTACCCTGCCCATCTGGTCTATAAGACCACTCTAGGCAGCTTCCAATACAACATAAAATAAAAATATAAATAACACAAAATATTAAAGAGATCATACATATAACAGATGTAATACAAAACACAAGAAATAAATAAAGAAAAGTAAAGGAAAAAAAATCAGATATTAGCTGGAGGGAAGGCCTGAATATATAGCCATGTTTTTAATTGTCTCCTCCTGCTTCTCACAGTGGGCTAGTGGGGACCAAATAGGGTTGCCTCAGCTTGGTACGCCAGTGGGATGTGAAGATCAAACCAAATAGCACACCAGATTTGTACTTAGCCTGCTCCATAAAATGGGTGTGTGGACAAGTCCTAATTTTTATTTCTGTCCCTGATTCAAGAGTGGAAATTATGAAACCCTATTTTGCTACTTAGGGTAGTAGCTCACAAAATGGGAAAATCAACTGATTTTCTGCATTTCAAGCAATCTCTTTTTTCACATTATATCAATATAACAGGATATTACCTATACAAGTTCTGGTTGTCATCTAGATTTTCAGAGCCCCATCTTCCTTTTACATCCTCAATCACATGATTTTTGAGAAACTTCCTTAACAGCTGAATAGTTTGCTGCCTAGTAACCTCTGGACCAAAATTACTGTTCTTTCTAAGCAGTTCATGAAGCCAGCTGATTGCCTCTGCTGCAGTGAAACAATTCCCGTATTTCTTGAAATGTTGCCTGTGTTTCTTTCTTGGCATTTCTGCTCGAAAGTATTTGGTAACTTCATTCCACTAGAAGGCAAAAAGAATATGGAAATTTGAAAAACACTATAAAACTCAAGAACTCAGCAGAATTGGGTTCATGAAGTTAAAAAAATACATATACTGTAGTTTTTTTTAAAGCTTCATGAATATTAGATATACTGTACAGTATATTCCTTGTGGCATGTATCAGAGTAAACAACGTGGACCAGCAGCCTGCTTGATTTTAAACCCGCACGTTGGGAAAAGCAAATTGATAATACAGTACTAACTAAAACCTGAGTAGAGAACTTGGCGAAGACGATCAATGGCCTTAGAAGCCCCATCCAAATAAAGAAATCAACTCTTGCAGCGTGGGGGGGAAATCACACTTGAGATCTGTAGTCCACGTCCATAAAGTATCCTCACGGCCCCAGCGAGACACGGGGTGCATCTTGGATAGGAAGAGGAAACCCGCACGAGTGGCCATTTTAACGCGCGTGAGCCCAGGTTCTGCACCTTGACGCGAGATCTTTGTCACGTGTGAATGTCTTGGCCACGAACCAACCCACTCTGCTTCCTCCGACCCCCTCCGTCCGTCCAGCTCCTTTCAATACAGTACTCCACATTTCACTAGACTGCCTCCTCCCTCGGAGGTACTGAAGTGGGGCGCCCCTCGCCCCGCTCTTCTTACCAGCTTGGTGGCGCGATAAGGACCTGGCGACACCACCCGAGTCTCCATAGCGCGACCCTCCGGTGGGAGCAGGAAAGCCTCCGCACGTCAACCCAACTGCTGACCGTCTGTTTGAACTGCGCTCCGGAGTTCCTGATTGGATAGAGGCGGCGCACGTGGCCTCCGCAGGGCCCGCCTCCTTCCCTGTCAAGCCGGAAGGGAGGCGCTTTCAAAGGTTTCTTTGTGATGGTTAAGGGCGCCGAGGAGGCGGGGGCTGGGCGCGGGCGGTGAGGGTTGGTTGTGTGTATGCGTTTCCTTTGCTCTGCCTCGCGAGGAGTACTGTCACGTGGATATTTGCCTGCTATTGGGATATTAAACGTGTAGGAGCCTAAAGGAGACAGTTAAAAATACTGTGTGTGAAGTCTTTGAGATTTTAGGGCGCAGACCTAATTGCGGGGAATCCTTGTCAGCTTTGTTTGGGGAGGGAGAGGTGAGACCTCGGAGAGGTCTCCCTTCTTGCGGGGAGCCCCAGGTTGCAGAAGGAATCCTTGTCAGCTTTGTTTGGGGAGGGAGAGGTGAGACCTCGGAGAGGTCTCCCTTGCAAGAAAGCCGGTCTTGCTTTTTTTTGTCCACGGTATCCTGGCTGGTGACAGAAAAGGAAGGGGAATGCTAATCCTAACTCCTATTGCTTTGATTGCGAAGGAACGAATTGTAATTTCCTCTGCTCTTCACGTTACAGAATGCATCGTCACAGCTGCTCCCTGTCACGTCTTGTCTTTCTGGATGGAGGAAATACTGTAGTTGCTTTTTTGCGAGGATCCCTTAAGCCCCAGCTTCTTCGGTACTGTAGTTGCTTTCTTGCGAGGATCCCTTAAGCCCCAGCTTCTTGCTGGAGAGGAACAAACGCAATCCTGTTCACACAAAACTGAGGAATAAACATGGGTGAACTCCATAGAACTTGTTTCCCTGCACCTTGTATTGAGTTCAGATATGATTAGTGTTGCTAACACAGATACGATGGCTGGAAAATGTTGAACGAAAGTTCCTGATGAGAGAACCAAACATCAGATCTGATACCATAAATTTTTTCTGTTAAGGAAAGCTAGAAGGTGGATCTTGACTTTTGCTAGGACGCCTTGCGGACCTTTGGGAAAAAACACACACAAAAGCCCTTTGAAATAAATTGTAGTTGCCCGGAATGGGAAATATCTAAATCCAAAGATAAACATCTAGTGTTGCTAAAGGAAATCATGCTTACATAAATCTAATCTTTGGATTTAAATATATTGCTCACAGGAAAGAATGTTGCTTACCAGCTTAGAAGTAAAATTTTGCTTTATACAATACTGTAGAACTTAATTTCTAAAGTAGCTTCCAGCAAGACTGTGCCATCCATCTATCTGTACTATTTTCTCTAGAGGAAATAATTTCTGAATTCATATGATATTACTTAATCTACTGTGGCTTTTGTATGAGATCAAGACACAGAGGGTAAAATAAGCTATAATGGTCTGAGGCTGAATACTTAATATTGCATAGACTAAAATCCAGTGGTGTTGCTCAGTTTAATTCAGTATTCTCACTATCAACTCTAAGCAAACAGTACTGCCACAAGCCAGCATGTTGTTGTTCTTTAGTCGTTAAGTTGTGTCCAACTCTTTGTGACCCCATGGACCAGAGCACGCCAGGCCCTCCTGTCTTCCACTGCCTCCCGGAGTTGAGTCAAATTCATGTTCGTAGCTTCAGTGACACTGTCCAACCATCTCATCCTCTGTTGTCCCCTTCTCTTGCCTTCACTCTTTCCCAATATCGGGGTGTTTTCCAGAGAGTCATTAAGAGGTTTTTTTAAATTCCTTCTCACTTTCTGCCATCCGGTTTTTCCAGAGAGTCATTAAGAGGTTTTTTAATTCCTTCTCACTTTCTGCCATCAGAGTGATATCATCTGCATATCTGAAGTTCTTGATATTTTTTTCCAGCAATCTTAAATCCGGCTTGGGATTCATGCAGTCCAGCCTTTTGCATGATGTATTCTGCATATAAGTTAAATAAGCAGGGAGACAATATACAACCTTGTCGTACTCCTTTCCCAATTTTGAAACAATCAGTTGTTTCATATCCAGATCTAACTGTTGCTTCCTGTCCCACATATAGATTTCTCAGGAGATAGATAAGGTGGTCAGGCATTTCTTTAAGAACTTGCCATAGTTTTCTGTGGTCCAGCGCATGTTAGCAATTTGGTCTCTAGTGTGAAATGAGTGCAATTGTACGGTAGTTGGAGCATTCTTTGGCACTACCCTTCTTTGGGATTGGGATGTAGACTGATCTTTTCCAGTCCTCTGGCCACTGCTGAGTTTTCCAAACTCACTGGCATATTGAGTGCAGCACCTTAACAACTTTGTCTTTTAAGATTTTAAATAATTCAACTGGAATGCCATCACCTCCACTGGCGTTGTTGTTAGCCATGCTTTCTAAGCCCCACTTGACTTCACTCTCCAGGATGTCTGGCTCAAGGTCAGCAACCACACTATCTGGGTTGTCCAAGACATCCAGATCTTTCTGGTACAATTCCTCTGTGTATTCTTGCCACCTCTTCTTGATGTCTTCTGACTAGCATGTAGGAAGTGCCTATTACGTTTCCTGATACTTGCTGGGCACCAGAAAGTACCAATTTGGGGGTTTTAGATGTTCTCTAAAATCACACTTATTTGCAGTTAATTCAGTGAAAACTGAGGTAACAATGTGATTTTACTCATTCTATATGTCAGAGAGTTGCATAGTTCCTAGAAAATCGTCAGCAGTGTTTGAAATACATATTCCGAAATAGATTCAGTTAGCTTATGAGAAATAAGCTAACTGAATGGGTTCTTGTTTTAAACTGAGTAGTTCCTCTTCTTTGATGTGTTTAATAACAGGAGACATAATACCTTTAACCAAAAGTTTAATTTCTCTTGGAGGAAGGGGTGTATAACAACTTTAGTAGGTTCAATGTGACCAGCAGCTGTAGGGGATTCAGGCCACATTATAAGTACAGTAGTGCCTCGCTTTATAATTGCCCCGCATTATGACAAAACCACATTACGATGATCTTTTTGCGATCGCAAAATGATGGTCTGAATGTTTTTTTTTTCGCTTTGTGATGATTGGTTCCCTGCTTCGGGAACCGATTCTTTGCAAAACGACGATTTTCCTCCAGCTGATCGGCGGTTTCAAAATGGCCGTCGGGTAAATAAAATGGCTCCCTGCTGTTTTCTGGAACGGATTCCTCGCTGCACAGGCACTGAAAATGGCCGCCCTATGGAGGATCTTCACTGGACGGTGAGTTTCCAGAATTGGAACATATTAAACAGGTTTAATGCATTTCAATGGGCTTTTTCGCATTACGACGTTTTCGTTCTACAGCGATTTCACTGGATCGAATTAACATCGTAATGCAAGGCACCACTGTAGTCCTGTTAACATTATATTGTCCTTCAACGCGGAGGCATTCCAAACCTCCCCAGGTCTGTAGGTTTTCTCATGGGGTTGCTCCCCACTGCGTAAGTTGTCCCGTCGTCACAAGGGGGATGAGTCCAATCTCCCACGGGAGGTGTCTGAGTTTTACAGATAGGGTCTGGCCATACCACCTTCTTCCAAGAACACTTCCCTCTCGGGCAGATGCACACAGTCCATTCTAATGGATCCACTTCTCCCAATTGAATTTCTATGCCCACGTTGCCTGGCCCATGTATAGTGCCTTCTCTTTCCTTCCTCTTCCTCTTCCTTTCTTGGACTGCCCCACTCTTCTGAACCCCAACACTTCTCTCTCCCTTTTTCTTCCTCCGTTCCCACTGTCATCAAGAGACCCTCTACTATAGGTTGTCCTGCTCCTATCTTTTCTTTCCCCTCCCCTTCTGATGGCTGACACCCCCCCTCGAGTCAATTCCTGAACCATTGTGGGTAAGGTAGACAAAATGGTGCTGATTCCTTCCACCTGAGACTATTGAGAGGACAGTTCACTTCTAGGCTTAACTGTATTAACCGGTTCCTCTTCACACCTTAGTTTATCCAGTCTCTGGCAGACAAATTTGCAGCCATTCAGATGTTTGACAAATTGTAGCTTGTTTACTTTGTCCTGTAGTGCCAGTGACAAGTAAGCCTGCCCTATTTGTACCAAAACAGCATTTCATCCACACAGCTGGATTATTTTTCTTGGTTGTGCAGTCATTCATTTATTTGACTTATATTGTACCTTTGTCACAGAACTGGTACCCAGAGTGGATCACAATATGATTGAAAAACAAGTACGTAATGCAAGTAAGGACAGAATTCAGCGCCATTAACAGGATAGGCTCTGAGCATTTCTCATCGTTGGATGTGCTAGTTAGAGCTGCTGGAAGCTGTAACTGAATAATGTATGGAGGACTTTGTTTCACATCAGTCCTAGTATAGATAGTATAGATAGTTGATATCAACCATGTTTGATCTGAAGGTTATATGTTATAAGATACTACCTGGTACCCCATCATCATAATTATGTCCTGTCAAGTCAGTTCTGATTTATGATGACACTTTACAGAGTTTTCTAGATAGCAACTACTCCGAAGTGGTGTATCAATCCTTTATTCCAGTAGTGCTCTGGGATTATGCAGCTTGACCGTGGCTGCATGGGCTGGCACTTTTGCTGGAAGGCACATTAGGGAATCAAACTCCTAACCTCTGGCTCTCCAATGAGATATTTAACTCTCTGAGCCAGCCATAGAAAATGGTGCACTCTATTATGGAGCAGTTCAGAGATTTTGTTAATGTAAAAGAATGCAGTTCGTTTTTTAAAAGTGTAGAGAAGTAACTAAGTGATTTTCAAGGTGCATTATTTATTCCACCTTGTATCATTTCTTTTTTGTCACTTAGTGATGGAAGATGATAGCATTCACTGAAGCTTCTGTCCTAACCGTTAACTGCTAAGGTGCTCCAGTGCTTGTTAGCATCTTATCTCACCTTCTCTGCTGAAGATTACAACAAATAAG